GTCGTGGCCCAATTTGGTCAACAATTTTGTGAACATATTTATGTAGACTTTATATTTGGGCTCCTCTTCGAACTCCAGGTCCCGTACGGACTGACAGAACTTCTTGTACTCGTCGGGCATATCGACGCACAGGTCGGCCGCTTTGGTCCGCTTTTTGATGTCCCCGATCTGTCGGTACTTATCCGGCACGTTGTCCGAGTTGACGCCCTGCCAGGGCAGCTCACCCTTGTGTAGGAACACCAGCATATAGGACAGCGCCTCCATGTCGTCCTGTATTACAGACAATACAATCAATTCGTTAGTCATTTCTAATCACATCTTAACACTTGAGACACGAGTGGAAAGGCGTGTCAAGTGTTATGAACGACTCACTCGTCTACTCTGTTCCATATTCTTGTGGTTATTAATACTCATATAGCGTACAGTTCCTGTCCAGGGCTTACCGGTGGCCGGGGGTATATGCTTACCGGTGCTCTCGTCCTTCCACTCCTTACACATACCCATATCGATGATATGCACGACATTGTACTTATCACTGCCGGGAGGGCCGCACATGAAGTTATCGGGCTTTGTGTCCCTATAGACGAGTCGGTGCCCGTGAAACACATCCATTATACCGATCAACTGAATGGCCAGTTGTGTTGTAGTCCGCAGTGAGAACCGGTGGTCGCACCTCTTGTGAAGGGTGGCCAAGTCGGCGCCCATCAGCTCCATGACCAGTGCGTGCCACCCGCCACAGGGGCCGAAGTAGTAGACCTTCGGGATACCGGCGCCGCCGTTGCCCAGCATGTGGTAGAAGCCATACTCGAGCGGTAACTGCGGTTTGTCGCTAGCCTTGGCCTCCAGTTTCACGGCCACCACTTCACCCGTCTTAGTGTTTTTGCCCAAATGTATGCGTCCGAAAGAACCTGTAGTTTATGGGTTTCAGTGCAATCATCAGTGCATAGAAGCGATCGATAGGTCAGTGCGAGTGAGCCCTTACCTCCGGTCAAGTATTTGCCGCAAACAAACTGTTTACCGATTGGTTTACCTTCCGGTGACTCTGGCTCCGGGACATTAGTGGCCATCGATATAGCTATTGATAACTGATTCAATCGCTTCTGAAATCAATACAAAGATCTAATTGGATATCAATTACCAAAAGTACTGATATTTTGTATTTAAAACCGTTAATTGTATTATAATTGTAACGGTTTTTGGTTTCAATAATCAATTGGTGTTAAGAACTCGCGATCTATTTATAGACCAATAGTTAAGTCATTCAATCATTTTATTGTTACAGTCTATCAATGCATACAATAATATATTCAGTAATTAGTTGAATGAGTTTTAAATGAATGGATCGCTTCACTAATGATCTAAACGTCTACCTCAGGGTCTGTTAGCAGATCTATGGGCGCCGAAGTGTCCATTCAATCAATTCATGAGTTTTGTAATTAATTTACTGTTCATTTCATTCACTTTTTTCGCTTATCCTTTGAATACAATAATTCTGTAATCAATTGAAAGTTACTCTTGGATTGGCTGTCATTGGAATCGCTATCAGGTGATTCTTGTTTTACTTTTACGTCTAAAAACATTAATTTAAAACACAATTAATAAGAAAAATAACAAAAGTAGTAATAAATCTATACCTGGATTATCCAGGTTAGGCCACCCCGGGTCCGACTCATCACTCGAGGTATGAGTATCTACTAAACGGCAAGCCTTTGGTCCGCGACAGGTGTCCACGTGTTTCAGCATAAGACTCTTGGACTCAAACACTTGTGGACACGTTTTGCACAAGTATTGCATGGCATTCCTCGGATACTTATGGATGTCATTCAAGTGATTCCTAACCCTGTCTTCGGTGGTGAACTGTAGCTGACATTCAAAGCATGGGAATATCACTTGCTTGGAGTAATTGATTGCCTTGTTGTGGTACTTCTTGTGCTTTCCCAGATGTACCGCAGAGTGGGTCACGAAATCACATGAATTGCATTTCATTAGATGCTTCGCATGGATCCAATGGTTATGCAAAACCATATTGTTTTCAGTGATCAGCAATTGATGGCATTCGCCGCACATGTAGTCGATGTCTGTCCTCGAGAACAACTGCGAGTGTCGTATGAGTTCCTCCTTATTCTTGTGCCACGAGTGACACGTTCTGCAGACAACGTAGCACTCGGCGGAGTCGGACGTACAGGTGCTCACGTGCTTCACGAATGTGGGCAACACTTCAAACACTAGCGGACACCGGCGGCACAGGTATGGCATTGACTTCCTATGGATCTTATGCGCGGCCATCAGGTGATCGCGAAGTTTCTCTTCGGATATCATTTTGGGTTTGTGTGGACACAGAAAGCAATAGGAATGCCATTTAGCGACGGCTTTGCGGCTCTTGGTATGGGAGGGCCGGCAGTCGTGGGACTGGAGGTCCGACTCGTTATCAGTCACGTAATCGCAGTCATTGTCCGTACATCTGACGAGCGGTTGGTTATGCATCCAATGGTTATGTAAAACCAGATTCTGTTCCGTTAGCAGCAATTGATGGCATTGTCCGCACAAGTGGTGGATGTCTGTCCGCTCATACATCTGCTGATGGCGTAGGAGTAGCTCGTCGTCCGTATGCCACGTGAGGCACGTCTCGCACATCACGTGGCAATCAGTCATGTGTTGATCCAATTCCTCGTTGGTTTGGTACCTCTGCTTACATACTGTACACCAATGCATCAGTTTTGATGCCAAAGTGCACGACCTCTCGTGCTTCGAGAGCATCACTTCCATAGCGAATCCCTTCCCACAGATATTACACTTATAGATGTTGTGAATGTCGTCCAAATGGCGCTGATATTCCTCCGCAGTCTCCACCCATACCCTGCAGTCACTGAATGAACACTTGAATGGCGGCGAAGACTGGTTCTGAACGTGAGCCGCGAACCAATGGTCGCAGTATTGTCTCAAATCGTTGAACACCTCATCGCAGGTACTGATGGCACAGACAGCGGGTGTCGTCACGTCTTTGAGGAAAGCCATGTTCGGGGCCTTTGTCTTAGTGTAAGGTCTTATGACCACTGGGTTAGCGACACCACTACTGGAACCACTTTCTGATGTAATTTCCTGTTTAATCAGCGGTTTAGGAGTCGTCTTGATCTCCACAGCTCTTGGACTCGCGTTTATGTCACTCATTGTCACCACTTTTGGGATCAGTTTCAGCCGTTTGACGGATACATAACATGAGTTCAGGCCATCGAGAGATCTCTTGGTTTGAGGTGTGGTTTGTGTGGACACGAGATCAGGCTTTTCAGTCTTTATGACAATCGGGTCGCCAATGGACTCATCACTCGATTGGTTGTCATTTTGTGGTAACTCTTCAGTTCGAGAGATCTCTTGGTTTGAGGTGTGGTTTGTGTGGACACGAGATCAGGCTTTTCAGTCTTTATGACAATCGGGTCGCCAATGGACTCATCACTCGATTGGTTGTCATTTTGTGGTAACTCTTCAGTCGTTGTCTCATTGTCTTCGACATCCGGTTTGTTTGTATCGGCTTTACTGTTAGCCGAAGAAGTGCTGGTAATCTCATCCACAGCTCCATTGTTAGGCTTTTTAGATGATAACAACTTCTTGTACTCGACGTCCAACTGATCCAACAAATCAAATGTCTGTTTATTTTGACGGCAAAAACAATTGGTTTTCAAATCCAATGAATATTTTCTGAATTTTTCTAATTTTTCATTCAATTGTCTCTCAAATGATAATTCAGTCAAAAGTCTGAAGTTTTCATCGCTTAAGTCCTTAAAGAAGTTACTCATGAGGTCGTGAGACATGCTTTCCGTACTGATTATCACTGCAATCACCACTAAATCTATAGTTAATTGTAATTCAAATTCAACTCAAATTGAGTTTACATTAAAGTCTTGTT